AGGCAGAACTGGATAATCCTTTCATAACTGCAGCCAACTGTTATGCAGAAAAGAACAGTTATAAGCGGATGCTATATAAGAGCAAGAAGCCCTTTGCAGATCTGCAGCATTACCTTCCAGCTTGTCTTCCTCTTGTCTCCTTTTTAAAGAGGTCATATAAAGTACCTATCTTTCATTAAAAATGTTTGCAGTTCTACATTTTACCTTTAGATGTCAGCAATTTTGTTCTTTAAGAGCTCACATTCTACGTTTGAAGAAACAATCCAAATGGAAATGGATCAAAACTAGAAACAATTTTTGCCATGTATTTGAATCCAAAATGGGTTTCCTCTTCTTCTTTTAAATGAGCATAAGCCACTCAGGATCCCTGATCTGATGAATGACCACAAACTTGATGGAGGGTTTTCAAACCCTGCATTGTTTTCCTAGTGAAGATATCGGTTATCTGCTATCTGATGCAGGTACATGAAGGACATGAACTTAAAACGTCTGGCATTAATTCAATAACATACCATTCACAAATTCTTAAAGCTTGCTGGAGGCCACATGCCATGAGAGAAGTATGCCTTGTCATCCATCTTAAGATACCAGTTTGAAGACGTGGAAAGTGGTTGCTCTATCTTGGTGGCCTTTCTTGTTAGCCAACCTTCATTACTAATCAGAGTAATGTGAGAGGCTATGCGGACAGAGTAATCTTCCCCTCTGTTGAAGCTTTAGCAAACTTTCTAAGCTGGTTTAAGAGATTTGGCTGGAAGGGACCTTTCCAGACCGGGCTGTTAGTCAGTCCAGCAGTAGTTTGGAGTGTTCCCTCTCTGACTTTGAAGAGAGCCTTGCTTATCTGCTTAAAAGTATTTTCAGTCTGCTGGCAGTTATGCTGTTAGTCATGTACGTGTGCAATCAGTATAGAGTTATGAGTCAGGCAAGACCTATTCATGTAACCATCATGTTTTGTTCTGCAACATGCTGGTTTTTGTTTTGTTCCGAACTGTGAGTAAATGGAGTCTTTTATTCTTTCTCTTACCAATGTCTTAGACTGAGTTTCTGAGACTGTAAGTGAACATAAAGTGTGGTCTGCTATGGAAATACCTGAAACTAATTCTGCTCTACACTTTCTGCTGTGTAGCTAGAGGTATTTAATCAAAAACTCACACTCTGCAAAGAGCCTCTTCAGACTGTCACTTTCATGTTTCAGAAGCAATGACTAGAGACGGTGCATCCAGCATGCCCCTATCTTCGCATGTGGGCCCGATGCTTTAAGATGTAACAGTGGTATTCTCTGCCAAGAACTGAATATACCCAAAATGATTTACAGTGATCTAGAAATAGCTGTAGCTTATTTTGAAAATGCCTGACTGCAATCCTACACACAACATATTAAAAATATATACAGTGGTACCTCGCATAACGGGCGCCCCGTTTAACGACGAATCCGCATAGTGACAATGTTTTTGCGATCGCTTTTGCAATCGCATAATGATGTTTTCTATGGGGGAAAATCGCTTTGTGATGATCGGTATTACCGATTATTGCATAACGATGTTTTTCCCCTAGCTGATCGGGGGTTCCAAAATGGCCACCGGGTAAAACAGGGACGGATTCCTCGCTTACCGGGTGCCCAAAATGGCTGCTGTATGGAGGATTTTCGCTTAAAAGGTACGTTTTAAGCCCATAGGAACGCACTGAAGGGGTTTCAATGCATTCCTATGGGCTTTTAAAATCCGCATAGCGACGAATCCATATAGTGACGATTTTTGCTGCACAGATTATTGTCGCTATGCGGGGCACCACTGTATTGTAGTTTTAAAAAAATTAGCCTTAAATTCATCAATTTAAGTTCAAAAGAGAAAGAGTAACTGCATTGGAAAGAGAATTTCTGAGTTAACATATTTAGGTTCAGTGTGTCGATATCTATGCTTTCTAGAAAAATACATATTTTGGAAATATTGATATTAATTCATTTCACTATAAAAACAAAATTTTCAAATAGAAAAATTCAAATTTTTTTCAGAGTATGAAGATGCCAAAAGGATCAAAAGTTCTGTGTTTCTTTCTGAAATATAATGGCACTGGGTTTCTTCAGATTTGAGGAATTCATGTCAGAATAAGCTAAAGAGTACTGTGAAGAAGGTACCCGTGGTATCTTCCTTTGTGAGAAAGGAAAATTACCAGTGATCACATGTCAGTTGTAATATTACCTAAAGTTCATAGGCTGCAATGAATCTGAACAAAATAGTGCTGATGTAGTAGTACATAAAATTGAACTGTAAGTCAATAATGAAAATATTGAAGAAAAAAATCTTGCTTATTTTCTGTGATTTAATAAACACTTTCCTACAATTATTATCCTTCCATTACAAATCAATCTGCTTAAATCAGTAAAATAACCGATTACACAAACTTGACCTAGAGTGAGTCAGAATGGTTCTGAATAGTCATCAACTACAGGCTCCATGGTTCCAGCTTTACAAATCTTAAAGAACTCTGCTTGCTGTTAACAGATCATATAAAATTATTTATCTTAGATCTGTGAAGAAGCTTAATGATATATTTATTGCTGAGTTAAAATGAGTGCAGGAATTTACTCAGCTGGGAATAGCAACATGGGAACTATAGGTTAATAGTGAAACATTGCAATAAAGCTAAAGGATAACTGCACTTAAAATATAGTGTTATGTATTGTATATACTGAAGTATAAGCCTAGTTTTTCAGCACATTTTTTTGCTGAAAAAACACCTCCTCAGCTTATACTTCAGTCAGTGTAAAAATTACATGTTCTTCCCTGCAGTGTGGGTGTTCTCCAGACTCCCCCAGTCATCTACGGGCACCTGCAGCCTCTGTGGGTGGTTCGATGACCCGGATTATGTACACTGCATTTCCACTTCCAGGACACTGCCATCCTCCTCCTTAAGCATATTCTATGTACCCACCTTCCTCTTCCCACCTTCCTCCTCCATCCTCCATCTCCCTCCATCTTGTTACACAGCAGTAGAGCAGTAGATAAGTGCAGCATCTGGTATGAGTCCTCCCTCCACAGGCAGTGAAGTCTGTCTCACATCTCAGAAGGGCAGTATCTTCAAAAACATTTAACCTACTGATGCCTCAATTAATGTAATTGTATTAGTATCTATTTCTATTTTTGAAATTTACCAGTAGCTGCTGCACTTTCCACCTTTGGCTTATAATCGAGTCAATACGTTTTCCCGTTTTTTTGTGGTAAAATTGGGTGCCTCGGCTTATATTCTGGTTGGCTTATACTCGAGTATATATGGTATGTTGATCTTGTTGCCAGTTGTTTTACTATGGCGTATTCTCATCAACTACTTGTACAGGCAGATGTGCCGTAAGAAAACTATCCTAAAGAACCACTAGGAAAATCAGAAGCTAATGTAACATCTACAACAGCATCAATACAGTGGTGCCTCGCTCAACAATTGCCCCGCATTATGACTAATCCATTTTATGACAATCTTTTTGCGATTGCAATTGCGATTGCAAAACGATGGTCTAAATGGGGGAATTTTGCTTAGCAATGATCGGTTCCCTGCTTCGGGAACCGATTTTCGCTTTACGACGATCAAAAACAGCTGATCGTCGGGTTTTCAAAATGGCTGTCGGGTGCTTAAAATGGCTCTCCGCTCTGCTTAGGGATAGATTCCTTGCTATACAGGAAGAGAAAATGGCCGCTGTATGGAGGATCTCACTGGATGGTGAGTTTTTACCCCACTGGAATGGGGTTTTTAATTTTGCTTTACGATGTTTTCGCTTAACAGCGATTTTCCTAGAACGGATTATAGTCGTTAAGCGAGGCACCACTGTAATTATATTGAGGAAAGCTACCAGTGTCAGTTTTACAGTGGCCTGTCCAGTCACCGGACAAAATTAACGAGCATCTCTTTGTATAATCTGGTCTATGACCACATAATAAAACTTTAAGATTTAAGATTGCCTTCAATGTCGAAAAGGAGAGTTCCTCAGCACACTACGGCAACTTTGTCCTGACTCCCTCTCATAGTAAATGTTATCTAGGGTCTCAAAGAGATTATACTATGAATATCAAGAACCAATGGCTTTTTGAAGCTCTTAAGATAACATGCACTCTTACCCATTTTGTAGAACCTGATATATTCTCAAGTTAATAATATTAGCAAGATGTATACATCCAATTTGTTTTTATAACATGGGCCAAAAGACTATTCATATTTGAATAAAATTTGTGTGACCTGACATGGTTAATTGATGAGGTGTTGGGGAACGTTTTGACTGTGCTTTTGAGTACATGGTCAGGCATTTAATGGATACATGCCTACAGTACTGTGTTCTTTAGCTGCACGTAGCCACCAATACAAGAATGATGCCAAATTCCAATTATCAAGGAATAATTTCACAACATACATTCTTATACTGCTTTCTTGTTTCTGAAGCCCTGGTATGTATCTGCATCTATGATCATGCATTCACTTGTGAACTTTACTGACATCCATAATGCTGGAACATCAGCAAAGATGAATGGCAAATAAAAACACTGTATAAACGGAAATGACTATTGTTCAAGCAACAACCATTCTACCTTAGGTCTTTTAGAAATACTGGCAAAATTGATGCTTGCTAAATGTGAAAGAACATAATCAGCAGAAAGAAGTTAAACTTGCAAGCTTCTAAATCAATACCTAGAAGAAGTAAGGCACATACTGGAGGCAATATTCTCGCTAAATTACAAAAAATGAAAACCACAAAGGCAGTTATTATACAAGAAATTCTTCTCCCAGTTACAGATTTCATAATTGTTGGTATCCAAAATGTTGATAAATGTGGATTCAAGACTCACCTGGTGACCTTAAGAAACTTTTTTATTTGAGTCAAATCAAAGCGATTTCATGTAATCTACTATGCTATAATGTTATTCAAACACAAGCTAAATTGGCATATGCATGCCAGTCTTTTAGACAAACACATCAGATAAAATCAGCTAAGCCATTCAGATCAAAGCAAATACACTTACCTCCAATAATTTTAGACTGGCAATTAATAAATTCTGGCTTTTTGTCGGTAAGGTACCGCTGACAAGTGTGATGGAGAATTTGAAAGAATGTACATTTTTCAGAGGCTGTACTTGCTACCCATTGGTCAAAAGCATTTTCAAACAGTAAATCAAATTCTGGGGAATCCTAGAAAGAACAACATTAGAATTACCAGAGAAATAAAGACTTTTACAAAGCTGCATTTGCTGCTTTAGACTTCCTTGTTTTTTGAAAACTCTTGTGAAAAGCTCATTTTCAGTCAAAATTCTTGCTAATTCTTTCTTTTGTGAAAATCATGTTGCACAGCTCTGCCTGCACAAGGGGAATTACAATTATGTCAGACTGCCACTGATTAATTATTTCATTCTTTGATTTCAGAGTGTGCATGGCTTGCACAAAATAAGATGCTGAAATAGGAAGTCTTTAATCAGAGGTAATCTGCCCCAGATGATAATGCCATTCTTGCTGCACAAGAGAAAATTCCCAACAGGGTGTTGAACTTTCTTTCTTAAATATTGTAATATAATGTAGGAATATTTTATAACTAGGACTGCTGCTGATGGCAAATGAAAAGAGCATTCTTGTGTGCCTATATGGGTGTGGGTTATCCAACCAGACTAACTCTTATCACATGTTATGTAAGTGTAGGGTTGCAGAGACTCACATTAAATCCATCAGGATTTGAAACAGAACTTTGGCAGGTCATAGCAACATATTCTATCAGGTCCCCCCTCTGGCAACCATGGCTGGAAAGCCTTCGGATGAGGATCCTGCTTGATTGAGCTACTGGCACAATGGCCCCCAAAGTTTGGACTTCAGATATTTTGGACTTATTTACACTTTACCATTAACATTTGTTATGCCAGCTGCAGATTATATGTGTTTTAATTCACCATCATCTAGGTATGGGTTAGGATGTCATCATCATGCTTATCCTTTAGGCAGACTTAACAAAAACATGTGACATACTTAGACCAAGTATGTTTTTATCATGGGACAATGTTTTGAGCAATCTGCAGATGTGTCAATCACATCTCCAGAGTACAAAGAGAAGGGACAGAATTTAGAGTAAAAATTTACATCTTGCCACAATGGTGGACTAAACCATTATTGTTTCTAAAATTTCTGCTAGTGATGTTGTTGCTTGTAGTAGAAAAGAATGGTGTATGCAAGAAGGAATGTTTCTTTGCAAGTGGAAATTATTTCGACATATAACACTGGGACAAAGTAGGAGGCCACCTTGTTCTGGGAGCTATCTGATAAGAAAGATAGCAACTCTGAAAGCTACAACAGCGAGAAATGTTACAGTTACAGGAGGTAACACAATGTTTAAAGCAACAAAGCTGAAAAGAGAGAAATGCACTGAAGTCAAGGAAAGTTTAGGATGGAAACTGACATTTCTGCAGTGGGCACTTAGCAGCTGTGAAGGGAGACATGTCTTCCTGCTCCCTGCCTGGAGTGGCCAGTTGAGCAGGAAGAGAGTGGAGCTTCATTGGAAGGACGAGCAGGACTGGCAGGCGCTGCAGGAAGACACATGAGTGGACGGACAGTCTGGTCCCGGGGGGCCAGACCTTGGGCGCTGCAGGAAGACACATGAGTGGACAGTCTGGTCCCGGGGGGCCAGACCTTTGTTAGATCCAGCTGTGTCGGGGTATTCATATTGATATACGAATATCTCCATATCTAATAATGAACAGCATGCTCTTAAAACAACAAATAGATTGTTTGTTTATGAAACAGAAACAAAAGGAAGTACAAGGATTTCTCATGGGAAAACTAATCCAAACTGTTATAGAGAAGTCAAATCAAAACAAAACCACAGCACTAAACAAGAAGCGCTCACAGGACAGGATACTCACCCGATGGGGGTCTATACCATTAACTTGGCGAAGTTGCTCAAGCATCCACTGTGACCGTCGTACAAAAGATGTAGAACCTTCAAACTGTTTGACTTTTGTAATGGATGCCTGTGCAGGTTTCTTGTTTGTCACTGTGAATATGATCCAAAGAAGGCCATGTATAAGCATACAAATGGGCTCTGTAACTGCACAAAGTCATCTTGCGTATAGAACTGACAGTTTTCTACATCAATAAAATCTGATAAACATAGCTTAACATAGTAATACAAGGATAGGTGAGAACAAAGAATCTAACATATTTATTGCAAATTAAAATATACAGAATTCTGGAGGATGGTACAGTTGCTTTATTTAAACATGGTGGCATCACTCAAAAATTTTGGAACAGTATACAATAGATCATCTCAACATAATAGCAAAACAACATATAATATGTCCACTCTTGCAGGGACTTGTCTGGTGCCTAGATATAAGTGGAAATGGTCCCATGCATATGTAACAATTTCAAGTTTCCATTGTGAGTATGACAGCTTCCATTTTTCAAAATCCAAACGCAAACTGAGCAGTCTTAAAATATTCAAAGAGAAGATGAGATGGGCTATCCATATTAAACCAGGAAAAACTGATTTCTGAATAAGCACACTATCAGTTACACATATTCAAAAGACTGAAATTTAATCTAGACAAGACAGAGGTGTTGCTAGCCAAGAAAACACTTAATCTAGAAATAGCAGCCTTTTGATGGATGGAGTAGCACTGCCTATGAAACACATTTTAACAGTTTGGAGGGATACTTTTGGGAACCCGCACTGACTCTGGCTGTATAGGTGACGTCCATAGGCTGAAGTGCTTTTGTCTAGCTTATACCAGTGTGATAGCTATATCCCATTTTTGAAAAGGGCAGGTCTGGCTTGTGCTGAATCATTGTAATTACATCACATCTGAAGTACTGGAATGCACTTTACATTGCTGGTTATGAACTTCTGAGCCCTACAGAGCACAGAAGCACGACTGCTGCAGGACTGTTTTCCCCATAAAGGGCAACAACAAGAGGACCTCCTTGGCTGCAGTTAATTGAATATGTATGTATTATCTAGACAAACAAAAAGACAAAAAACATGCAATAATGCTGGTAGCACAGTGAATTATTATTTAAAGCCCTAAATCAACTAGCTTTTCAAATACATTCAAAATCGCAAGTCTCTATACTTTGATCAAAGTATGCTAATTAAGTCAATTTAAATGCAGGTCAGTAATAAGGCAATGAATAATCACCATTCTACTGCTTCAGCATCAATCAGATAAGAGGGACGAGGTCTATATTAATTATTTGTTAGAACAAAAAAGTGTATGCATATCAGAAATATGCTTCAGATCAGAATCAGATTATTAAAAATAAACTGTGAATTCTTCTGAGTAGAATCTGAAGATCGCAATCTTATGAGACATTTTGTCTCTTTAATGCAGTATGTCCGTCTCCTGGTACCCTGTTTCCCAGAAAATAAGACCTAACCTGAAAATAAGCCCTAGCATGCTTTTTCAGGATGGTCATAATATAAGCCGTACCCCCAAAATAAGCACCAGTTAAGTGAAACCTCACCTTCCACCATTGTGCAGTAACCAGAAGAATATGACATGACTGTATTTGAATAAATGTAGACAGCTGTACATGGGAACAAAATCTTCTGAAAATAAGCCCTAATACGTTTATGTTTTTGGAGCAAAATTTAATATAAGACCCTGTCTTATTTTCGGGCAAGCACGGTATCACTTCATTCATTGTGCACTTATTTCCTGAAAATAAGCCCTAATACGTTTACGTTTTTGGAGCAAAATTTAATATTTTCGGGAAAACATGGTATCACTTCATTCATTGTGCACTTATTTTGGTAGCAGATAGGCAGCCACCCACACTCATATTTGGAATTATCTTCATATGAAAATGAAAATACTATCAAGATTCATTCCATTCAGTGAGTATTATTAACCTGGATGACACACATCTGAAAGAAATTAAACATCCTATATAGTTTACCATCATGTTGACAACTTGAAGTCTACAGTTCTGGAACCCTCTTTCTAGAACAATTGTAAGAGCAAGTTGTTGCTATATTCCATCAAGTCACATCTAAGCTAGGCTGGCCCCATCTTTGCTGTCCTTCTATAGGCAGGCAAATACCTTTCTCTTCAGGCAGGCTTTTCCTTAATGACTGATGGTCTGGGAGGGGTTTTAAATGGCTGTTGTTCTCTGTTGTTTTAAATGTGTTTTAATATTGATCTTAGTTACTATTTTAATATAATACTTGTTTAATTCTTTTTAAATATTTCTATACTTACAGTTTTAGTTTTAAAATACTGTTTTAATGACATAAGCCGCCTTGGGTCCTTTTTGTCTTTCAGACTGTGATAGGGCTTTCATGGTTAATATGGTATTCAAGATCAGTGAGATCTTTAAGGAGTGGTTTTTCATTATCACCCTCTAGCAAGTTTCTATGGCCAATCAAAGATTTAAACCCAGATCTAATCCATTAATCTATCCATTACACTGTTGTTATATGCTGTCAAGTTGGAACTGTCTTGCAGACTCTGACAGGGCTTTCAGGGTAAGTGAGATATTTAAGGAGTGGTTTTATTGGTTTCATCTCCTCAGTGAGTTTCTATGGCAGAGCTAGATTTCAAACTGTAGGTCTCCTGTGTCCTAGTCCATCACTCTAGCTACAATACCACACTGGGTATCCATCTGGTACACTACAATTGAAGAAATCTTGCAAAAGGGTAGGCTTTACAAACATGTAATAAATAGCTTCTGATTTTCACACAGGGCAGCATGCAAAATACTAAGTTGCTTAATATGGTCTCTGGGCTCCCACTGAATCCTTTTCCATAATATTGGAATGTTCTTTACCATTCTGCACAAACTGCTATGTCCAGAAACAATGACAGGGGTAGCAGGAGGACAAAATAAAGCTTTATTAAAGATGTGGTGGGTGCATTAGTTAATTATACACTTCTCCCTTGAATTGCATCATGTCTGAGCAGCATATGTCTGTGCAGCACAGTTTTGGTTGTATGAGTATTATTTTTCAGTAAATAAATATCCAAGAAATAATTATTCAATCAATACTGCTTTCTTATTCTTCTCCAGGAAGTGACCTGAGAAAGGTGGGCCTCAGACGTAATGACGCCCTTGTTGTTCGTGTGATGGCCACTGGCCTAGCTGCCCCCCTCTCCTGGCATGGCAGCTCTGTGTGGCATCTGGAGAAGGTGCAGTGGAATGCTGATGCGGGTCAAGCAAGGTGTCTTTCTTCTTTCTTTCTTTCTCTCTCTATGCTAATTACCTGTTTATGCTTTGCAATTATGTTTTTGGGGGGCTAAGAGTAATACTGTATATGGGTTTTGAATGACATGGCGATTCAGCGCACTTAACCCCAGCATTGCTGAAGGGAGAAGTGTATTCACTCTAATCGGTGACAACTAACCTTTTGTGAAAAAAAAGAATTAAGAAAGTAGGTTGAACAAGTGAGTATTTTGTTCAGACCTGAACTGCCTGCTCTTTTAAGATTACTTTAGATGAGATATTCAATTCCTTAAGACTGTGTCCATACATACCCCCAGATATTCACCTGGAATCCACAAGTAACTGCCCTATTATCCAGGGAAGAACTTTCCTTCTCACTTCTTCCCTATCTAAGCAAAAGGGTAATTGCCGATACAGATATGATGTCTTGAAAATTGTCATGTGTATCAGACTTTCCTCACATTCTCCCACATCATTTTTCCATTGGCTGAACTCTCATTCACCTTTCAGGCACCCAAGATAATACAGGACAATCTCCAATATATTTTGTTATCTATATCAAAGCCAACCTATGACATTCCAGTATATAAATGTGGAACCTCTTCTTTTCTCAGGTTCAGTGCTAGTCAGGTATTGAGCTTAGGTTTTATGGGTACTATGCTCCTGTCTATCCTACTGCTATTACGCCTTAGGTCTAAATAAATTCATCATCACTTAGAATTCTGGAGGCTACTAAGGCTACTCTGAAGCAAGACTTGCATCTCAGGTTACATATTCTAAAGCCTGAGAAAATGAGAAATCAGAAGACAGTCTCATTTGTCCTCCTAGCTTCACTTGGACAAAGTCTTTAGGCAGTTTACTAGTTTGCACCAAATCCAATGCCCTGCAATAGCCAAAAAAAAACTTGTATGCAGGGTTGTGATAGAAATCCCTAAAGATCAGAGGTGCATGTAGCAACTGACTGTTGGTGTTGTCATTTGCTTGATGACAGAGCAATTTAAAAATTGTGAGATGTAGGATCTGGGTCACTGAAAGATTGCTAAACTTTAAGGTGGCAACCCTTAGTCAGATCACTCTTGCCTGCCTTCTTACCAAAGCAGAAGACCTCTATGTGCATGTATGTTTGAATGCCTCCATGTTGGTCTGTCCCTGAACGTTTGTATGGATTTGTCTGTGTGCACTGTCCTTGGCTTTGTCCACCACTGGTTGCTGTGCATCTGCCCCATCAACAACGATGGACGGTAGTTGTAACTGCTAAGTACAATTCTGGTGAAGAACTTGATCTGCCTCTGCTATTGAAAGGCTTCTTCTTTCTTGTTGATAGGCAGAAATAGTTTATGATGTGTGAAAGACACCAGCAGCCATGCCTACATCACATTAAATGTGGATTTTAAGAACGCAACCAGAATATTTGGATAAACTTCCCAGCTTTATACAGAAATATCTGACTTTTTTCCAGAGGTATTAACAATTTATCATGAATCCATCAGTGAATGAGATACCCAATTTCAATTAAAATTATAAATTTTGGATGGGATCAGAAAAATAAGCACTCGGTATACTCAAAGCCTTTGGATATTCCTAGTGGAGTTTCTGTATTTCCCTCTTTGAACACCAGACTCTGCCAGCACTATCTTTCCAAACTTCCATCAGTTTCAAGAAAAGTTTGCCAATGGTTTGGGACCTGTTCCTTAAGATACTTCCTTGGAAGTATGGTACCAGTCATATGGTTCTTTGAATCAACGCCAACCTAAAAGTTCAAATATAAAGATGGTTGAAAATTAAAAGCCAGCAACATCAAACTTTAAAATTCTACTGGTAATCAGAAATCTT